AGATAATAACAGAATCTGTGCAGCACATTTTTGCTGGAGATTGGTATGAGCATGTATATTATTGGAAACCTTCTGGTATACTTCAATGTGTACCTATCTTTTCTATGGCTTTATTCTGTCAAACCCAACTTTTTGAAATTTATGAAACAATTCCAAATGTGTCTTTAGAAAAAATGAATGAAGTTGTACATGGTGCATTAAATATATGTACTATTGTATATCTTTGCGTTGGTTTCTTTGGTTACATTGCATTTTGTACAGAACCATTTACAGGTATTTATTAAATTTTAAATGTATTTTCAATATTTTATTAAATACTAATTAAAAATTATTAAATTTTTTAGGCAATATATTAATGAGTTTTGAGCCTAGTTTATCATCTGAAATGATTAAGATGGGATTTGTATTTTCTATCGCATTTAGTTTTCCCCTAGTCATTTTTCCTTGTCGTGCAAGTCTGAACTCTCTCTTATTTCGTAGGGTTTGTATTGTAATATATAGTAATAATAAAATAATAAATTTAATTATTATATGATTTTTAGGTATATGCTCATGAACCTTGTGTAAATTATTTGCCGGAAACAAGATTTAGATGTCTCACTATTATAATTGTAGCTGTTTCTTTGATTACTGGCATTCTAATACCAAATATTGAATTTGTCCTTGGTTTAGTTGGATCTACCATTGGAGTAATGATTTGTTTGATATTTCCTGCAATATTTTTTATATCTATTAGTAGTAAACATACTAATGAAAGATTATTAGCTCAAGTAAGATTATAATAAGATTAAATATACAAAAATTTTAATTGTTTAGTTATTTAATTATAATATTTTCTTAATATATTTTTCCATCTAGATAATTCTATTTATTGGTATCTGTATTATGATTCTAAGTACATATGCAAATTTGTATGCATTAGAAGAATCTACTAATACAAAAATATTAACACCAACAAACAAGCCTTCTAATCAAATAAATGGTTTACCATTGAATTTAAACAAAGATGATATTAATGCAATTCCGAATAATCCTAAAATTCTTCCAAATATTAAAGGTATTATAAAATTATATATTTTCTGGTAATTTTAGATATTTATTATTAATTTAAAAATAAATAATAGTTAAAATAGTATTTTATTAAAAAAAATATATATAATATATTCTATTTATGACATATTAATTATTATTATTAAATAATAAAAATAATTATATTAATAATTTTTAGAAGAAATGAATAAATTGCCAGATTTAAATGTTATTAAAAATTCTTTAAATTTACAAGTAAACGATATACGACAAGAACCGCCGATACCAGTTGAACGTATAATTATCACAGAAAAACCAATGATAGAAACACAAAAATCTGTTGATAATATATTGGTTACTTTTGCTCCAGTCGTTAAAAAAAACTTAGAAAAAGTAAAAGCCATAAATACAAATTTTGATAAACAATTAAATAATTTAGTAAAAAATGACATAACAACGACAGAATCTGTTATTGAAAACAAAAAAGTAAGCAATTTAATGAAAATAAAAAAAAATTTTATTAGTACAAAAAAACAAGATAATCTTATAAATTTTGATGCAATTAAAAAAGAAGAATCAGAATTAGCAGCTTATGTAGAAGCTGTTAATATGTTATCTGTTGAGAGACATGAAAAACTTAAAAAGACAGAAAAGCATAAACAAGAAATTGAAAAACAAAAGCAGAAAATTATGCAAGCCAAACAAGAGCATAAAAAAAATGATGAAGATAAATCAAAGATTCTTAATGAAAAGCCTGTTATAGAATTAGATAAAAATTCTACAATTATAACTAATAGTTTCAAAAAAGAATCTTTACAAAAAAAAGATATCGATGATAAAATTCTTGATTTAGTTCTTTTGAATAATAAAGATTTATATAAAAAAAAAGATACAGATATGAATTATACATTACTTGATAACAAACTAAATAATGAAAAAATTAAAGAAATAAGTTTTAATAATTCAAAAGAATTACATAAAGGGCCTATATTAAATGCTTTAACAAAACGAGTATTGCAAAGATCTATTTCCATTAATGACTCTAAATTAAATGATAAAACTGAACCTGATAAAATCATGCATAATAATAAAGATAATTCTAGTGATATGATTCCTAATTCACAAGAAAAAATACAAAATGAATATTTCTTACCAATTGCATTAAAAATGCGAAATCAAACAAAAGTAGAGAATACATTAAATCCAATAGAGCATAAGTCCGATAAAGATGTGCAAATAATTCATAGAGATATTTTAGAAAATCATGAACGTGAAAAACGAGAAATTAATATAGAGATAGAAGAAACTAGTACCAAAGTTACAAGTGATATTTCAAATAAAAAATCTGATAATTTAATAAAAAATTTCATTATTAAAGATAATGAGAAATGTTGTAAACGAAAAAAAAAATTAGAAAAAAATTTGACGAGCAAATTAAGCGAAAAAATAAGTCAGAACTCATCTAAAAGTAATACAATTGAAATATCATTGATTAAAACTAATGTATATTTATCAGATCAAAGACTTGAAAATACACTTTCAATAGATTCAAATATTTCTATTAGAGAAGAATATATAAAATTGAAACAAAGGGATTTAAAATTCGTGAATACCGGTGAAGATTATATCTAAATATTTGGAGACCTGATTAGATTTAATTCATTAATATAAATGATATACATAAAAATTTAATTTTATAGATGTTAATTAATAACGAGTATTATTTTTTCTTATTATCAAATTGCAAACAGATAAAAAAAATTTTAAATATTGAAAAATATTATCATATTGAATATTATTGTACATATCATTATTCTTCTATGTAATCAATAATTGAAATCATAAATATATTTTTAAATTGAAAATTTTATTTGTATTAATTTTAATATTAACTAAATAAATATTAAATAGTGCTAATAGTAATAGTGATCGAATATTTTATAAATGCATTCTAAATTTTGTACTATAAAAGTAACTTGAATTAATATTTTGTTCACAATTTTTTATCTTTTATAAAATTATATAACATTAAATTAAGATTTGATAACATTTGGTATTTGAGGAAATAAGTGCATGTTTTAGTAAAATTTATAAATAGTTAAAAAATAAATTCGACAAACAACTA